CCCCCCCCCCAAAAAAAAAAAAAAAAAAAAAAAAAAAAAAAAGGGTGCACTGAACTGCATAACACACATATGATAATGAAAAGTGGATGCCACAGAGGACCTGACATATTGCTCTGCAAAAGCCCATTTTTGCTCCTCAAGCAAAATATGAAATAAAATATAAACTAAAAATGTGGACTCTGAAACACTAACATTGGGATGTTTTTCTATGTCGGCATTTTATGTAATAGCAGTGTCCATTTTCCACTGTGCACAGATAAAAAAATAAGAGCTGAATCTAAATTTCAGCAGCCTTTTTTTGTAGGAAAAAAATCAGATTATGTGCTCTTAAGCCAGTTTCTGAAATGCATAGATCTTTACCAGTGCTTTACCAGTACGTTTTGGATAAATCTGCAAAAAGCTTACACATTAAACTGTAATCTTTGCTAAATGTGCTCTTCATACTCTTCCACAATAGGAAGAATGTATTATTACTGTTGGCATTCATCAGGGAACAGACTGAACAGACAGCTGAACAAGTACATCAGTTTTTACATGCATGCATATATTTTTATGTCATCCACTTTAAAAAGAAAAAGAAAATTATTGGTAGTCACAAACCAAAACTATCTCTTGATGTTTATTTGCTCAGTATCCTGACATTTTAATAATCCTGATAAGTATGCCAGTGTTTAAACAAAGAATCAAATATTACTGCAAATACATACAGGCATGGCATTGTTAAGGGTGTTGTTGTAGACACAGGCTCTCAGTGAGTAATCCAGCATGCAATTTTCAAACAGCTGCAGTGATTCTGCCACTTTTTCATGAAAATCTTCTGCAGATTTATTAGCACTTGCAAAGTAGAGATAATCAGAGTACAATCTGTGAATGAAACACATGAGTAAATGACAACATTAAAGATGCATTTGCATGATAATGAAAATTAGTCACATTAATAGAAAAAGAGAGGGTATGACTATAACATGTACTATTTTCAGCCTGTTTGAAATCGCACTGAAATCAATAGCAGCCTTTCTATGGACTTTAATGAGTTTTGGCTCAGACACTGAGGATCCAATCCTGAGAGTTGCTAAACATCTTCCACGCTCATTAAAGTCTGCGTCTCCCAGGATCAGGCTTTATTCTCATAACTGAGAATAAAGTTCTCATCCCTTCTCTGCCCTGCCTCCCAAGACAAACTTTTGAACGATGTCTATATATTTTGTATAAATTACATTTCTGTTATGATAATGCTTATAAGCCCCAAACAGATTTTAGGATAACTTTGTGCTAGGCTCCTAACATAGAAGCCAATCCCTGTCTTTAAATAGACAAGGATGGACAAAGAGTGAGAGGGAAGACAGAGGAACAGAAAGTGATTTTTCTAAGGTCACCTAATTGGGCAGTAGCAGAGCTGGGAAGAGAACCCAGGTTGTCTGAGTCCTATTCAAGAGGTCCATCCCCTCTTCCATGCTGTTTTTTATGTAAAGTTTCTGATTTGAGGCCTTGTTTTAAAATATTATTATAACAACCTTGCTGAAGCAAAAACAACACGGTGAACTGTATTATGCCATAATATGAACTTTAGCTGTCCTTATCCAAGCGCCTCTCATTCATTTCAATAGGAGTGTTACCTGGGCATGGATGACAGGATTTAGGCCCCATACATACATCTGATGTCAACAGTGTAGATAATCACGTTACACTCTGTTGCTTTGCTGCTGCTAACTAGACACTGCAGCAATTGGAATTTGCACGTAGTAATTTTTAATAATGGTAGATGTGAGAATGTATACTCTCATTTCAAATATGAAATATTTGTGCAAATCATTTAAACTGTTTATAGTTGCCTAAATGTTACAAGACAGAGACAATGAACTCTGGTTTCCTTGGGGAGGGCGGGTGAAGTGTAAAATGGAAGATTTACTTTTGCAAAACTCCCTGCTTAACTCATCCTGACATCATACAGATTCTAAAGAAACATAAGAGAAATGTCATGAAGGGGCACAGCATAGCATAGTTTGCCATCCCTTGAATGAGGGTCTGTAAGTGATTTTTGCTTGTTTTGGGCTCATGAGTTATATTCAGGGTCCTCATAATTCTGCAGCATTCTTGTCGAGAGTCCTATTCATTTTGGTGGGTGTCGTCACCTAAATCGTGAGTGGCCAAACTGTAAGACACTTGTCATAAGTGGCACAGGTGGCCTGTGTGTGTGACATGGCAGACCACAGAGGGGACAGGCATCACAGTGGCAGATAGAGCTGGGAGCAGAAAGCAAAGCAGCGCATCAGGCAGAGAGCAGAGGGCAGGACCAGAAAACAAAGCAGCAGATTGGGCAGGAGAAGGAGAACAGAGTGGAACTCGGGGGCTGTACAGGGTTAATTTGTAGCATGCCTGCCAAAAAATTTGGCCCCACTGGCCTTAATAACTGTTCACCAATACTAATGGGAGTTTCACAGTTGGGCCCTTCACTGGCAATGTCAGGAAGGTTTTATATATATGTGGTAATAATAGGCCAGCAAAAGATAACCTTTAGCTCTGTCAGTTTCCAGAGACTCAGCTACAGAATCCTGTCTTTTCTCCAATTTTTGTTCACCTCCGAGCCTGCCACCTCTTCTAGGAGACTGCGGAGAACTTCAAGAGAGAAACAGAACTTGTTTCTGAGTACATAAGGCAGCTAGAGATGGCTACTATTATACTTCTGCTCCTTAGCAAAATTTCATATGTACAATGACTTCTTTATGAGATTTATCTGAATAAAGCGTGTATGATCAGGCCTCAGTTGTTTCCATCCTCTGTTAACGCAGTAAAATAAAATTGGTTTAAATACGTTACTGAAGTTACTACTACTGTAGTTTGTAGCAATATACCAGTGTAACATACAGAACACAGTCATAGACCCATATAATAATATGAATGTCTTTTTAAGAGCTGCTTTGATATTTCTTCATGGCCACCATCAATTATAAATCACACCCAATAAATATCTGTTTTGTCTATAAGAACTACTGAAGCTTAAGAATATCAGTCTCTGCTACAAAACTATTCTTTTTTAAGGGAATCATACAGTTACAAGTTGGAAACAATTTTAATTACGTTTCACATGCCCATTATTCCAATTCAGGAGAGGAACAGTCAGTTCTCCTTTAAAGATGTGTATTGGAAAATTCCTTCACAATAGAAAAGAAAATAATAAGCTTTTAGCAGAAAGGTCTAATTGCCCATGCTGAAATGATTCTTGCCAGCTCAATTTCTCTTACTTAGTATAGGGTCTGGGGGAGAGGGGTTGGCTCTGCCTACTCTTCCCCATCACAGAGGTGAGGACGGAAATACCTGCTTACTCCCCACACCTACAGAAGAAACCTGATATGGGAAAAAGATGCAAAGATATTAGAGGTGCATTGATATATCAGTTGCCTATTGGATCAGCACTGATAAAAGAGGTAAATGGCACTATCAGTCGTTGGCTTCATTTGGCCGTTACGGCCAATAATGTTTGCCGATAATTATGCCTTCTAACCAGGGCCCTGAACAGCTGAGTTCCCTCTCCCCCATGCTGCCGGGGTCCCCAGATACCTGGCTTTCCTCAGAAAATGGCGGGTTTCCCCTTACAGGCAGGCAGCATTCTGCTTGATCCCGCTTGGGGCTGCTGGGAGCGAGATGCAGAGGGTACTGCATGCATGGGTGCAGCTGCATGCATGCACATGGTCAGGAATACAGCTGGGCAGCATGGAGAGCAGCTGCTTCCAGGTAAGTCTATGGAGGGGAAGGGGCATGAGGAAGGGATGGGGGTGGGGGCAAATCGAGGCCTCCATGGTGAGGGAGTGGGGCAGGTGCTGGGGGCACTGCCCAGCCAGGGTGGTGCAAGGGACCTAAGGCCAGGGCAGGGAGTAGGATGGAGCCTTGGGCAGCTCATCCAGGAGGTGTAGGGAGGTCGTTCCCTGCCACTGCATGCCCCCCCTGGGAGAGGCATGTGCCACGCCCCCACTCCCCAGGTTTGTGCATGGGGTTGGGTGCAAGCTGCTCACTGTGGGCTTGGAGCAATCCACTCTGCTGCCTTTCCCTCGGGAGCCCTGCACTGGCTGCATGCTGCCTGGCAGCAACGGGAGTGGTAAGTTGTGCCTCCCACTGCTGGCGGACAGGGGGCATGTGGTCGGTGCAGGGTTCCCGGGGCAAAGGCAGCAGAGAGGAGAGCTCTGAACAGCAGCCCGCATCCACCCTTGCCCTGCTCAGCTCTGCTCCACTTAAAAGTGTCCCTGTGCTTAAAAATGTAGCAGCAGCACATGGAACTAAAGCTCATTCAACAACCCCCACTGCTATATTTAAGTGCCAGGACACTGATACATGTGATGCAGGAGGCTGCTGTAATGTGACAAAAAAGGGTTTATTTATGCCTTGCATTTTAAAATAAATCAGTTATTGGATTGGCACCAGCCGATATGATTGGTTAATATTTGGCTATCAGTATCAGCCAAGAAAATCCTTATCAGTGCACCCCTAAAATATATATGTTATAGTTTTCCTTGGGCCTTACAGCCCTGTAGGATTAGGCCAGAGCCTGCCCCTATATAAACCATTTAGTTTAATTTGATTTTAAAAAGGAAAGAGGATTGTGGTAATTGTTTTAAATAACCTGAAGTGGTGTGGAAGGTGCCAACTATGGACATTTGGCTGATGAAATCAGGAAAGGAAATGTATGCGCCTCTCAGCCCATATTCACTGATGATAAACAGCCACTAAGTATTTGGCTCTCCCTAATATTTTGCTCTCTGAGGGAACCATCTGTCCTGGTGTATATAGCAGGACTGGCTATGACAGTGAAGAATATAAGAAAAAGATGGGGAGAAGCTGAGGAGCTGACTGAGTTGAGTTAAACGTGGCAGCCATTAAATACCTCCCTTGCAGAAGAGCATGAACATATGAAGGCTGTAACAAGAAGCAAAAAATGAAGATCAAGCTTGCAGTGTATGACTTGGGGGACACAGAATCAGGCTGAGAGCGCTCACCATTTAAGGCATAGGAGGATAACAGACAGTAGAAGTGGGAACCATGCCAGCAGGAAGCATTTTGGGAATGGGTGGGGGCTGCAATTTGGTTTAAAGCTTTTTCTGTTTATTTTTTTAACCTGAAAAAAAACCTGCTGACACCTTACGGAAACCATCGTACTTGGACAGATTTCTCTGCTGGGGCTTGCTTAGCTTTTCTGTATATGTTTCCACCTGTTTTTAGATTCTCCCAACATCTGCATGAAAATACAATCTTTGTTAATTATGATTTCAGCTGTGCCAGCTACTTGAAGTCATTATCCTCAATCACAATTCAGTAAGGTGACCACAATGGCGATATTACCAACACTGAGTGTGGAACAAGTCAACCCTGATTTAAGCAGGTGCAACTGCCATCAAAGGCTGCGGGGCTGTTTCAGATCTCAGTAAATCTGGACATGGGATGTCACCCTGCTCATGTCAGTGCCAGTTTTCCCAATTACTTCAGTGACTACAGAATCGAGCCCTAAATGCAAAATGACACTGTTGAAGTTGCTAATTCATTGCTGGCCACAGGGTAGGGGGCAATTGTGCTGACAGTTGCCCTATCCGGTTCCCTGGTGGGACTAGGGAGTAGTAAGGGGAAAAGCCTGAATGCAGGAGCACATTGGTCATACCTTTTATCACAAATCTTCTCTGAACCAACACACTCCAGAATGCCCCCTGCAACAGGGACCCTTCTGATAAGGACCATTTATCCCTTAAATATTCCCTAGGGGAATATACAGCTGCTTTGCTGCACCATGCACTATGTTGCTGCAAAAGGACTGCAGCACAACTGTAAATCAGCTCATTACACTTTGTACTATTCCACTGAGTTTGCTCCACCTGCAGCTC